GAAAGGGGGGAACAGAGATATGGGGAGAAAGGGGGGGAACAGAGATATGGAAAGAGGGGGGAACAGAGATATGGGGAGGGGGGAGACAGACAGAGAGGGAAGAATGAGACACGGGGAGAAAGGGGGAATAGAGAGATAGGGAGGGGGAGAAAGAGACACAGGGGGAGAAAGAGATGGGGAGGGGGAGAAAGAGACAGAGAGGAAGAGAGATGTGGGGGAGAGAGAGACAGGGAAAGGGGGGAGAAAAACAGTGGAAGAGAGGGAGAAAGAGGCAGAGGGGTAAGAGAGACTGGGAAGGAGGGGGGAGAAAGAAACATACAGAGGGACGGGGGGGACAAAAAGGCACACAGAAGGGCTGTATATATCACTGGTGGATCCAGGGGGGCAACAGGGCAATTGCTCCCCCTCCCCTGTCCGCAGGCACCGTGCGGGCAGGGGAGGAAGGAAGAGAGGACCTGGGAGCTCACCCTGCAGCTCCTCTGGGTCCTTCTTGCACGAGCACAGAGCGTTGCCGCGATTACCATGGCAACGTTACCGCTCTTGCGAGAGTCAACTCTAGCCCTGGAGCTACGGTCTAGTGTTCACTCTCAACACTGTGACCCCCAGGGATTCCTGGTGGTCGCAGTGGTGAGAGTGAACTCTAGCCCCATAAACACACTGCCCCCACACACACACACCATACACATTCACACACTGCCCTCATACACACCATACACATTGCCTCACACATACACTGCCCACCCATATACACATAGACCCCCATACACAGCCCCCCATACTAACATTGCCACACACGTACACAGCCCACACACCCTACACATTCACACACTACACCCCCACACACACTGAACCTTTCACACACATTGCACCACTGCTCCTATTCCCTACTACAGCCCCATATCCCAGCAGATCCCAGGTAAGTTGTCAAACTGTTCTTAAATGGTTTGACTACTTACTCTGGAGCAGTAGTGGTTATTGTGCATGGATTATTTATTTAAATAATCTACAAGTGCCCCAGTAGCCAGCCAGCCAACCCACAGGCTGGCCAGTAGCCAGCCAGTTAGCCAGCCCACAGGCCAGTAGCCAGCCCACAGGCCTACAGCAAGCCACAGGCTTACAGCCAGCAAGCCCACAGCCTGCCAGTCGCAGCCAGCAAGCCCACAGCCTGCCAGTCGCAGCCAGCAAGCCCACAGCCTGCCAGCGCAGCCAGCAAGCCCACAGCCTGCCAGCCGCAGCCAGCAAGCCCACAGCCTGCCAGCCGCAGTCAGCAAGCCCACAGCCTGCCGGCAGTAGCCAGCAAGCCCACAGCCTGCCAGCCGCAGCAAGCAAGCCCACAGACTGCCAGCCAGCAACAGTAATTAAGGAAAGAGGAGCCAACTTGGCCTAGGTATCAGTGAGCTATGTTGTGTTGCTATATTGTGAATAGGAACCAGAGTGTTGGAGAGACCACCCTCCAGGCCCCATTAGACTCCATTGTAGTCTCTAATGGGGCCTGGAGGAAATTCTTTCTAACACACTCTCTAAAGGACACTGAGATAGCCTCTGCTAGAAATCCCCTCCATGGCCCATTAGCCCTCAATTGTAGTCTCTACTGGGGCCTGGAGGCGACTGTTTCCAGCAGGGGATATCTAATGGACGCTGAGATGGCCTCTGTTAGAAAGACCCCCTTCCAAGCCTATTAGACTCCATTGTAGTCTCTAATGGGGCCTTGAGGGGATTCTTTCTAACACACTCTCTAAAGGACACTGAGATAGCCTCTGCTAGAAATCCCCTCCATGGCCCATTAGCCCTCAATTGTAGTCTCTGCTGGGGCCTCGAAGGGCTTATTGCCCTTTTGTTCCTTGTGTCTAAAGATTGTGTAGGGTGTGGCTGGAGGCGGTGCATGGAGGCGGGACAAGGGTGGCACTTGCTGCAGAGTATGGGTGGGGCCTGTAAGGGGGCCCTTGATTTATTTTGCCCGGGGGCCCTGAGGGTTCTCAGTCCGCCCCTGAGTACAGGTCAAAGTACCACTGCCTCCTGTTTTATATGGGTGGTTGTGGATATTTTACTGTATTTATATGTTTATTACTGTATTGATTTATTTGTTTAGAGGGTATTTTTGAATCTACCTTCTCAGTGTTGTAGGGAATGATTTATTTAGCTATACTGTATTTTCTGCATCTACCTTCTTAGTGCTCTAGTGATTGATTTATTAAGCTATACTGTATTTTCTTCACCTACCTGCTTAGTGCTGTAGTGATTGATTGATTTATTTACTCTGTTTTTCTGCATCTACCTTCTTATGGCTGCAGGGTTTCCCTTTTCCCTCCCTCCCTCTACCTTTTCCGGGTGGCTTTGCCCCCTTCACTTTTCGTCTGTTGGTGACCGGGCGGACCCCGGAGTAAGACTCCGGCTGTCCCATGTGTTGGATCCCACCCGTCTGCCGAGCGAGATCCTCTGCTTCCACCCCCCACCCGACCCACGCTTCTGCTCACGGTATAACTGCTCCCGCGGCGTGGGTGGGGGGTTACCTTCCCATGCAATGCGGTGGCCCCGAGCATCCACTTCCCCGCAACCGCATGGTCGGGTGAGGGCAGGGCCGGCCAGTTTCCAGACTTACCGCATTAGTTCCGTCGATGGCAGGCACATGTGCTGTAGCTTTGACTGGGACTCAGCTATGACTTGGGCGCATTGCACCCTCAGGCTGTCCTGGCTTTGTGCCCCATGTGGCTGGCAGGTTAGGCTACTGGGGACCATAGTGGATGGTATAGATCACAGGCTTGCTATATAGAGCTGTGCACAACCCCTCAAGGGTTACAGGCACAGCTGGCAGTGTTACCACTTATACTCATCTCCCCCCCTTTTTGTTTGTTCAGATGATTCCTTGCAGCGCTCTGTTTTATTATATTGACCAATGGAGCACCTCTTGTGAGGTAACTCAGTTGGTGAGTTCCCTGACTACAGGTGTACTCAATATGCAAGTTCACTATTTACGGAGTGTCAGGCACTATTTAAGTGAAGTGTGTTATCTACAGTTACACAATGGAATGCTAGGTACAGTCACACAGAAGAATGCTATGTACAGTTACACAGTAGAAGGCTATGTACAGTTACACAGTAATATACTATGTAAAGTTGCACAAAAGAATGCTATGTACAGTTGCACTGAATAATGTTATGTACAGTTACACAGAAGAATGCTATGTACAGTTACACAGGAGAAGGCTATGTACGGTTACACAATAATATACTATGTGCAGTTACACAGAAGAATGCTATGTACAGTTACACAGAAGAATGCTATGTACAGTTACACAGAAGAGTGTTATGTACGTACAGTTACAAGGAAGAGTGTTATGTACAGTTACACGGAAGAGTGTTATGTACAGTTACACAGAAGAGCGTTAGGTATGATTACACAGAAGAAAGTATTGCATGTTTACACAAAAGGATGTTATGTACGGCTGCACAGAAGAGTGTTATGTACAGTTACACAGAAGAAGATTACATACAGTTACACAGAAGAGTGTTAATTACAGTTACACAGAAGTGTGTTAATTACAGTTACACAGAAGTGTGTTATGTGCTATTAATCTGAAGTAGTATTATGTACATCTTATCTGAAAAGCGAAAGATACATTTCATCGGAAGAATGGAATGCGCAGTTCCTCACCTGTACATCTCTGAAGGTCCTGACTTGTCTGTGCCCCAAGACTTGGCCGGCTTTGTCTGTGCCTTACTGATTGGCCTGCTTTGTCTGTGCCCCATTAATTGGCCTGCTTTGTCTGTGCCCCATTGATCTGGCCAGTGACTTGAATGAGTCAGACTCTCCTTGAGGAGAGCAGGCAAGTGCGCATGAGCGCTACTGGAAGGGTGAATGCCCTGAACCAGGCTCCTGGAAAGATAAGACTCCGAGGAGTGGCTAGCCCCTCTGAAAGCAGCCAGATGGCCCTGCCTATATGGCGCGGGGGAGGCTATGACCACCGGACGCGGCAGTGACCACCTTCTTAAAACGGAAGACGACTTGGAGGAGTCAGACTCTCCGAGTGGACAGCAGGCAAGGGCGCATAAGCACTATGGGTAGGGTGAAGGCCCGGAACCAGACACCAGGAAAGTTTAGACTCCGGAGAAGTGTCTAACCCTGATACGATCGGCCTTGATGGCCAGACGACACTGCCTATGTGGCGCAGGGGTGAAGGTCCCCGTAACTCCACCCCCCCACCATGGCCGCCCTAGCTGAATGGCTGGCGGACCGGTTCCCCTCGGAAGGAGAGGGCGATGGAGGTGTGGATTATGATGATGGCCCCTAGTGGCACCATGAGATGTAGAACAAAGTCCACTACAGGGGCCCCGATGACCATGGAAGAAGAGGTCGTCTTGTGGATCGCGTTAAACGAACCCCTGTTTGACCCTTGATCCATTGCTCACCTGGTTTCTTTGGAATGGTCTCTGCCCGATCACCTAGCACCATCGGTGCGTTTTGGGCCCGTAGACCGCTGGCTTGAGAAGCTTGCAGGATAATTCAAGCGGTATTCCCAGCCGTGTTCCCGAACTAAATAGCCACAAACCCAGACTTAGACCCCGA